GAGTTTGTTAATGTCATATACCTTATATGAAGCAAAACTTTAGAAAAATGTGTGTTTGCAAATATAATGGTATGGAATCATAGGAAATGTGTTACAAGTTTCAAAAATGAATTGGACAACTGAAATTTTATTTTTCATAACATGGTACAACTGCGTAAATAGGTAAAACGTCAAAAGGATAATTATGTGTTATATTTGTAACACTGAAATACTTGGGATAACTATGTGTTACATAACGGCGTACATGTCTTAAACGTGGCATATAACGGCGCACATGTCTTATTTATGTGGCTTACTTTGATTGAGTATGTCCCAAGTTTGAGTTTTTCTTTTTTATTCAAATTATTTTTCTCCAAAGTTGAAAAGTTAATGTGTTTCATAATGTTATCTACTTTATGATGAGAAAATTCATATAATAGATAATCTTGCACATATTATTGCACGGAAACATAGGAAATGTGTTTCAAATTCTAAATATCACAAGTACTATTGAAATTTTTTTTTTTTTAATAATATGGTACAACTGCGTAAATAGATAAAACGTCAAAAGGACAACTATGTATTGTATTTGTAACATTGAAATACTTGGGATAACTATGTGTTACATAACAGTGCACATGTCTTAAAACGTGGCATATAACGGTGCACATGTCTTATTTATGTGGTTTACTTTGATTGGGTCTGTCCCAAATTTGAGTTTTTCTTTTGTATTTAAATTATTTTCCTCCAAAGTTTAAAAGTTAATGTGTTTCATAATGTTATCTACTTTATGATGAGAAAATTCATAGAATAGATAATCTTGCATATATTATTGCACGGAAACATAGGAAATGTGTTTCAAATTCCAAATATCACAAGTACTACTGAAAATTTAATTTTCATAACAATTCTAAAATCCCAAAAGTATAACTATTAACAGTAGTTCCAAGTATACCTCAGTTGTACCTAAAAAAGTTCAGTAGTACCTATACATATGTTGTACACAAAAATTGAGTATCTAATTAAACCATACAAAAAAGCAATAAACCAAAATGTCTAATTTATACTACATCATAGTGAAATCCATGTGTTTTTCTCCCTCTTTCATGTCTTTGTTGTACCTCAGTGTACCTCAGTTGTACCCAGTAGTTCATAGGATTAGAACAAAATACATCAACATAATCAAATTTGAAGGGCATGAGATTTGTTAACTTGGCTCACGATGATTGGAGCCGATGCTTAATCTACTAGCAAGTTCTATTTGTCATTAATC